GGCAAAAGCGCCACTAGTAATACACGGGCTGTGAAATGCACTTGCAATGCCAGTTGTAATTAAAAACTTTCAGAACTTAATTTGGCAGTGCTTACTGCTCAAATGTAAGCTTCTTTGTGAAACAGGCAATAGGGGATCCAATTCTTAGTGTATTTTCAATATTAGTTTCACTACTAGGATTTTTTAAATATTTAAACAGCGCATTTACTGTTGACACAGTAAACTCTACCTTTCTGATTTTCTACTCATAGGAATGAAAAAATGCAATCAAACACACATTAAATTTTTTTTGTGCATTCTGTGGTCCCAGATTACTGCCTCAGTGAATCAGAATTATTGGTCAGGATTTTTTGGAGGGGTCTCTTCAGATCTGCATGATCCTACCTCTGGAGGCAAAACGTGATGAATCCAGTGGGATTCTTGAAAAGCTGGAGTGGTGGGAATGCTGGAAACAGCACCAGACAGTGCGTGCCCATGGCCGGGTGCCCTGCAGCAGCACCGGGGGCTCCCTGGGCTGGCACCTGGCGCCGTGCGCTCGCCCGGGTCAGTCCAGCCGCAGGCCGGGGTCTGTCCGCCCCTGAGTTACAAGAGTCTCTCTCCTGATCCTTGAACCCTGGGCAGTGCCAACAGGGGGGTCCGTGTCCTGTGGGCAGTGCTGCCCCGAGAGACGCCCCCTCCAGGCGGGGCGGCCCACAGAAGTGGGGCTGCGGGACTAGATTCTCTCTTGGAGAGATGCTTTCGTGTTCAGATGTAGTTTTAAAAAATGGAGTATATTGACAATTTGAATCAGCTGTTTAATTCCTAAATTTTGGTATTTCTTGCATAATAAAACACTAATTTAGCTCAGCTCTGCTAAGAACATTTTACCCTGTATGACTTTAACTCTTTGTGTGGGGAAAGCGTGGCCTAATGCCAACCTACTGAATCACATTTTATAAATATTTTGCAAACATGGCTTTTCTGGGTTTTATCAATTTTTCCTTTTTTGTTGCAACTATGAATAATTTTTTTAAAGGAGGTGACTCCTCTTTTGCCTTAATGAAAAGGCATAGATTAGCTATACGTGGGAGGGGAAGGGATAATGTAAACTAACTTCATACACTGCCTACAGAAAGCAGCAGCGTGTATTGCGGGCAAGGGAACAATGAAACTGTCCCTCCTTCTGTCATTCTTATCACCTGTTTTCTTGATAGGCAATGAGCTCATGCATTCAGAAGAACTAACCAGATAAAAATGGAAGGCAGAATCTACTCACTGAGTAAAAATAGGTGTGTTTAGTAGCGATTGAGGGCAATGTAGAGAGCATTGTGGAAGGTAGTGGAGATATGCACTGAATTATTGACACGTCAGCTTTGCCTGGGGAACCTCACTGCATGATTAATGTTTTGTCAGCTGAGTGAAGTTACATATTTGATGCTTGGTTACGCTCGCTTGTTTGTATGAAACCTGTTGAGAATCTGGATTGTGCCCCAGTATTGATTTCTGACCTGAATCAAAAGGGCTTTCACAGAAGAGCTGCATGAAGACAACTAGGGGAAGTGATTGTGGCCTGGCGTGAGGCTGGCGTGTAACATGTGCCATATCACCAACTGCTGATCAGAATGGCTTGAGGTGATTTTACACTACATTAGTGCCTGTGTCTGCTTGCTGCTTTGCTGGTGTTTTCTTTCCTTTGACCAGTTCTTATCTTGACAGACTCTGCTGGGCCAATTCTATTCTCAACATCCAGTTCCAGTCAGTAGCTCCCCTGAAGTATCAGTTAACTGCAGCTTTTATTGAGACCAGTTTAAAGGACTCACCATGCAAATGAATGGCTGCAATCAAACAATTAAGATCCCTGGTTAATATGTAAATTAGTATCGAGAGGAGACCACTAAAGGATCAAAAGGGTTCTCGGAGGTGGGGGAAAGCTGAGGCTGCATCGTGTCATGAGCCTGCTTACACTGGCATAGATCTCATTATTGAAGAGAGTTTGAAAGGGGTGTGATGCAGGATGTAGGAAAATGCAAACTTTAAAAAAGCAATTTTTGTGTTACATAGTTTGACTGTTACCTCATTTCAGTTCAGAAAATCTCAGTGATGTTATTACAGAAGTTTAAAGTTCCTTCGAATGCTTCTGCAGTTTATTCTAGTTCCAGTCTTTTAGAAGATTTCATGTTTTGTTTGCTGTTAGATTTTAAAGCTTCATGTCTCTGTGTTTGCTTCAGTCTGTTTCAAAAGTGAGGTAGAAATGATTGCATGCTCTTCCACATTCACTTTCAAAACATTCCTTTGGGTTTATTAGTGTAGCAAGTGAAGGGTAACTGAAACAATTTAGCATTTTATTTTAGATTCTTAAACTGCTAAAATGCATGAGCAGACTGCTGTCAAAATTGCTAAATAAAAATTTCTATTTAGACAAAGACCTTATGTTCCCAGTTTTGCAGTGTGGGGGAGGTTTCACTCAGGTAAGCTCCAGAAAATAGGGTCTTACAAAAACTGACACCTTCCCTCTACAAGTCTGTTAGCTGCTAGTGTGGTCATCTCATCTCATCCTCATTCTGTTTTTATTGTTGTTCCATATTTCCGTTTAGATGGATGGTTGGAAATTGTAATGGGCTGTTCCCATTAGGTGTGGTACACGTTCTTCTGCTGACGCTTCCCTCGGAACTCGCTTGCCACAGCGCATGGAGCTGCTAGGGGTTTCTTTACCCACATATGCTCATTCGTGTACAGCTTAGAACCAGTCGGTTTGTCACTCCCTCTGCATGAGACAGGCCCAAACCCGTTGGCTTCCTCTGTAGAATCCATCTAACAAACCTCTGCTACGTAGCCATTTTTTGCTTAAATCCTCACTTAACCATTTTCACTCTTTCAGGCTAAGCCAGCTGTCCTGATCCCCTCCAGTGCTGAACTGGTCATCACTGTCAGAACTATAGAAAACCCTGAAATAAAGGGCTGAATCCCTCTCGGTCCTCACACTCGCCTGTTCCTCACCTTCGGTGGCTGTGTCAGAACTTGGGAGAGTTCAGACAACTTTCCCAGGAAAGCATGTCAGGTCCAGCCCCTCTTACCTGCTGCTTTTCTGCCTTTTTGGTAGTGTCCCTACGCTGAACTCCATCACAAGAATCCTTGCTTTGCATATTCCTCAAGAAGATGCATTTCTGTTACGCCTAAAACCATAGCTAAATGCCTGATTCTTTTTCTTGGAACTTGTTTAAATCTTACAGCATCTGCTTGTCGACTTGGTGTTTTTAACTTAGGAAGCAACTTACAGAAATAAGATCTCAGATGACAGGAGGGAAGGCTTGAGTCCCAGAGCTAAGTATGGGAACTGGCAAGGGAGAGTTATGTGAGGACTGAACTAGGGAGGGGATGTGTTCCTGTCTCCACCTGGGTCATTCCTTGGCACTAATGAACAGCCAGTGGACAGCAGAGAAGACATTCCCTGGAAGAGAGCAGCTCTTCTGCTTCTTGGTGATTTTCAAGTGGAACAGCGACAGTGTCCGGGAGTGAGAAGACCCTGGTTCAAGCTAGTTTAGAATTGAGGATGTTCTGTGTAATTTTGAGGACATCTGGATACAGGTCCCTGCCTCAAAAAGTGTTTCATTATTTCTTTCTTGCTGGAGTGAGTCCAGTGAAGGACCATTAAGATGAAGGGTGTGGGGCACCTCTCCTGTGAGGGAAGGCAGAGAGAGCTGGGACTGCTCAGCCCAGAGAAGAGGAGCCTTGGGGGATCTCATCGAGGTGGATAAATACCTGGAGGGAGGGTGCGAAGAGGCCAGAGCCAGGCTCTTCTGTAAAATATCTAATTGGCGAAGATGGCTGCTTCCTAGCTTTTGGTTTTTCCCCTAGAAAGGAGAGAAAGGACATTTCAGAAGATGAAACTCAGTTATGAGCAGGCCTTCACTGAGAATTAGGTAGAAAAAGGGAAGAAAGGTTAAAAAGCATCTAATGTTCAGCTAAATCATAATTTTTAACTTTGGGGATGAAATTGAAGCTGGGAAAAGTTGGATGTGCTCTGGGTGAATAGTAGTGTAAATGAACGTTGCTTGAAGAACCCCAAAACTCTGTCCTTTTTATTAAAACATGGCAACACACCAGTTAGCGCTCATGCTTGGGTATGGCAGCAAACTGCACTGAACTTTCAAAGATAAACTCAGGTTGCAGGAAACAAAAATAACTGTTGGTTAGTCTATGTACACATGGCAGAGTATTTCTTTAACAAGCTATTTAAAAATGTTTTAAGAAAGAGTTTAATTTTACAACCACTGTAAAATTTCATGTTATTTTGATTCTTTGCCTGCACTATGTGAAAAGTCACAGCGGTGTTTAGTCTATTGGGACACTCTGCAAAGAAGAAACTGTTATTTAGCAGAGAAGTGAGGCAAACAGGGCATCACTCAGAGATGCAGCTCCCTGAGAACCTCAGGCCATGGGGAGTGCTGGGTTCCTGAACAGAAATCTTTCACAAGTGCAGAACAGAAGAATGAATCGAGTCTGTGCACGCAGCTAGTGAAATGCAGTACATGGAAAAAACATATAAATATTTTGATAGCTTTGTAATAACGTACTCGCTGTAGCACAGAATGCAGATGAAAACTGGCAGCGATGCTTGTTCATTTGAGGAGCAGAGGGGTCTGTCAGCACTGGACCAAGCCGCTGTGGGTGCTGCTGACTCCCCGCAGCACGGATCTGCCCAGGCCCGGGGCCGGCTGAGCGCTCCCGGTGAGCCGCACGCCGGGGCCGGTTCCTGAGGACGTGCTGCCCTGTTAGAGCACTACGGGGTGTCGGGAAGGTGTCAGGAGGTCAGCGTCCTCCTGCGTGATTTCCCTGCGCACACCAGTCGGTTGTGGGTCACATGTTCACGTGCGCCTGCTGAACGGTCTGGTATTGCTGAGGAGGGTGTAAATGCGGGTCCGTAAATGGATTACACGGGTTTCCTTCCCAGCCCCAGGCTGGCAGGGCCACGGTATTACCCAAGCCTGCTGCGGGAATGACTTTTCAACCGTTCCTTCCAGGTTCTACAGTGGAAAGCACAGCAGGAAGAGGCTGCGCAACTAGAAGCTGCCGTAGCTGCCAGAAGAAAGGAGAAGAAAGATGAGGAAGAAAGACTACAGAAAGAACAGGAGATGACTCGTAGAGCTCAGGAGAAAGAGAAAGTATGAGAAACTTTTATACATTTTTGCATATGTTAATGTGTACAATTGCCTTTAAAATCTCTAACCCTTCTCAACTGTGTGTTCTCCTAAAGTCTGGAGCATTAGTATGGAGGTGAGCAGATGGTTAGTTGAGTCTTGCTGCTGTCCATCTTAGCTTTCACACTGCCTGCTCCTGAACACCGGTTATATACTTCATTACATTTCTTAAAAAAGCATTCACAAGTAACTGTATGTGACTCTGTGTCACAAACAATCAGTGCTGAGGCGCTACTGGATTGCCAGTTCTTACAGATTTGTGCTTTTTAGCGATGTGGCACAGGCTCTGGCAGCTGCCCGTGCTGCAGTGGGTTGCAGTGCAGCACAGACCCCGTGTCCCTCGTCCCCTTGTCCCCCGGCAGCACACTGTGCCTGGCACATGGGCCCTGGAGCAGGCCGGGGCTCCACCTCCGCCTGCGCCGCCCCGACAGCGGGCGTCTGCGCCACGGCTGGCCCTGGGGGACGGGCTCTGATGCCTATTTGATGTCTAAACTGCAATTTATTAGAAAATCGGAAATCCCCTACTATGAATGTAATGCTTTGGGAAAACCAGGCTGTGTCATGTCTGTGTTTGTGTTGACCTTTTAATTTCAGTAGTACGGTGAAAATCCAGGACGTTGTCTTATTAGAACTTCACCTCTTTTTTCTGGTTATGTTTTACACTGAAATCTGTCATGCTCAGAGTCCAGCTCTCCTGTAGCGTACTTGTTTCTGTGGCATATTTATTTCTGGAAAAAAGGAAGTTGGAGAATGTCATAGATTCTTGCTGCTTTGTCTTTCAAACGCTGATGAGTTGTCACTCTTACAGGACTACTCATGCTAACACATTTGCAAGAAGGGTCGCTAAAAGCTGGGCTGTTACAACATGCCAGTTAAAAGCAGAGTTAAGAAAACAAGGCTAAACTCTTCCAAATAGAGTATTTTCATGATGCATGTGAAGGCTTTAGTGACATCAGTATGTGTCACACTACAGAAAACTTGTGCAAAAGAAGGAAGAAAACAAAATCTCTATATACATTACCATGTTTTCTCATTAGATTTTACCTTCTTGTCTTTATCTGCCATGTTTCTGTATAAATTATCTCACTGGGAGCCAATGTTTACTGATGGGACTACAACATGGCCAGTTAGACGCCCTGGGATGTGATGGATTCTCCTGTTGGTAGAGGTGTCTATTGCAGAGATATTCCTTGCAGGGAAAAAACCCACAAAACTATCCATACTTAGAGCAATTAGATTAAGTTGTACTGAAGCAATTTACACCTACTAAAAGCAGAAAAGAAATTATAGCAAAGCAAAATAAATAACCTGCGGGCAGGTGAAACTGGCTGCCTTGGCAGGAGAATGAAAATGAGGTGCTACACTACTTGGAATTTCCCTGGTTTTATAGCATCAAATATCTCTTCCTTGTTTTTTCCAAAGAAACGTGTCTTCCTGCCATGTCGAATAGGTCAAGAGCAGAAGCTCTTGCAGCTCATTGTACTCCTGGTGTTAGCTTGCGTGACCGCTGAGTTTGGTTATATCAGCAGTTCTGCAGAGAGGCACTTGATGAAAGTGCTGCCTGGAGAAGAGAAGTGAAGCTGCTGAAGCCTTCTCGTCTCCAGGCAGAGGCTGTTACCTCTCGTTGGTTCTCGCTGCAAGGCCCAGAGCCAGTGTTTGAAAAGCTGCCTAATTTCAGATTGATTTTATTATATTTGGTCATGACTGTGTTTGCACATTGCAGGTATCCAGTTTCTTCTCTAGCTGAAGAAGTCTCTGCTTACGTTGGTCACCTGGTTTTATTCTTTTTCTGCCATTTATCTTAAAGATGAATTATAGATTCTTGGCAGAGCACAATCCTTCTGTTAACCTATGCCCAACCATATAGTTAGCAAAATTGCAACTAATTGTCCAAAAGTCAGTTTCAAGAGATGTTTCTCCTTCAAAATGCACAGAATACTCTCGCTTTTCATAGGAATCAGAGATTTTCGTAGGAATCGGGAAAGGTATTGGAAGGGACCTCAAGAGGTGTCTAGTCCAATCTCCTGCTCAGTTACGGGGTCTGATCAGGTGATGCATGACTTTATCCTCATTTTAATTTGTCCTATTTTTCCTTAAATTTATCTCCAGTATTTGACACTGTCATTTCAAAATGTCAGGTTCAAAAGCTGAGACGAGACATATTTATGTGTTTGCAAACCATGCACTTCCACAGAAATTCTGGCTCAGTTTAAATCAGTATTAGTTTTACCTTTACCCTTAATTGCCTTACTGCAGATATCCGCAGTGAACTTCTGAGAGGTAAACCTCTATAAAAAGACACAGGAATTTTTCAAGATTGTGTGTATGTGCATTAGTGTTCCAAAGCTTTATTGTACGTGTGGTTTCTTTGTTTTCACACTGAGGTGTGTCCTGGTTATTTGTTCTTGACTGATATGTTGTTATGGTTCTTACATGCTGGATTTAAAGTTATAAAATAACAAATTTAGGCAGAACATCTACTTTGGTGTGTTCATTCATCTTGTATAGAAGAGTTTTCTGGATGAGATGTGATGAGATTTTGTCTGGTGTGGATAATGTGGAAGTTGTCTCGGTTGGCGCGTGTGATTGTGAGAGTTTGTGGTTTCTGCACCAGCCTGAATGAACCCCCAGAGAGGGGGGCTGCCTGTGTTTAATGATGGTTTGCTGCTTTGGTTATGAGAAACTTTGCTGCTGCTTTTTGTTACATCTTGTTCTGCTTATTTGTCTTTACTCAGGCTGTTTTTGTAGTAGCAGGTGACTGAAACCGCAGGGAAGGGAAGAGGCGTGGGGCAGCTGCGTTGGCCCCGCCGCCAGCAATGTTCATTTTACGGGTAAATGTTTTGATTGTGCAAACCTTCCACTTTTCTCTGGCCTGCATGTAATGTCTATACAGAGCATCCTCTGCCCGTGCACAGATGGAATACAGCTGTCTGAGGGCAACAGTCATGTGTTTCATTTGAGTACTGTACATCCGAGATCCTTAAACAGGGCTGCTAACCTGCCGCTGCTTCGCTGGAGGACGTCCATGGCAGCAAGAGGAACGCATGAAACGCCCGTGGCCGGTGTGAAAGGAATGCCCACTCTGCCCAGTTTGGAACCTAGGCTGGGTATGACAAGCACTTCCCAACCTGAGAATGGGCAAAACAACATTGGATCTTAAATCCCAACGCTACGTTTGCTCTATTGGACTGCAGATCAGATTTTTTCCTGTATGTCTGACATTCCACATTCAGACATATCCACTGGCCCCTAATTAGAGTTAATAAAAACCCCTCCAGGCAACATAGAATACAGAAAGGGGAATAATTACAAAAGAGAGACTTTTATTTCAGAAATATAAATATTCCAAACAGTATTAAACAAAAGCATTCTAAGAAGTATGGCTATAGCCATCCTTGTTTTGATGTAGTTCATATATAAAAAATGGCCTATATAAAGAAACGAGTGGCTTACAGCTTGGGAATTGTGAAATACAAGCACTCTTTGGAAGACCCGTTTTATTCTGAATCATGATAGTTAAAGTTTTTTCTGCACAAAGTCAGTCATCTAAAGAGGATGGTATTTTGCCTGCCATTTCAACTGAAATCTCCAAGAGAGGCTTAAATTCAGTACAGTTCCGAGGATGATACAGAAGTTATTTTTATTGCCATTTTATGGAGCTTTTCCTATGTGAGATGATTCCATAAGTAAATTTCATTGTCAGAAATTACCTTTGTTTTGGGAGGTAGGATAAGGTCTTAGACCTTCACAGGAGCTTTATGCATTTAATCATAAAATCAACAGATTATTGTGGTGTAATTTCAATTGCTTTTTGTAATTCATTTTCTAACTAACACTTTCTTAGGTTATTAAAATTCCTAAGATTTTCTTAGATTTTTGCATCTTTTTCTAAAGATTCTTTTCTGTATTTTTCTAGCTGTATTTTAAATTTTAAAAACACAATGCTGTTTTGTCAGTGAATTACAACTTGGCAGCATTGTCATATGCTCCTGTCATCATCAATAGTCTCTTCAAAAACTCAGTCTTGATTTTCAAGGTAAACACTATCTTTGTTTTGCTGGAAGCAGTAATTTTTAGTTAATTTTTTATCTTTTCTCTTTCTATTTGTCATAGCAATTGCTAAGAAGTCTGTTAGGTCTAAGGTATTACGGGGTTTCTCAGTCAGCCCTGAGGTGGTACAAAGCACTGGCTAATGTTTTGGTTTCTGATTTGACAGTGCATCATGGTATGTCAGTATTTCTCTTCTCATCCCAGCTTGACTTTCTCTTCTGGTACCTGCACATGGAATGGAAAAAAAAAAGTTGGAAATGAGAGTGAAAAGTACAACAAAGAGAAATTGCAGGAGCACCAATGCTTGTAGATCTACCAGGTCATGCTGACTCTTCTCTCCGGGATAGCAGAGTGTAAGGCAGAGAAGGGAACGTGTGCTACCTGTTGGAGGTGACGTGTAACCGAGTGCAGGATTGTGTGCCGCTGTTAATAGCTGGGACAGGCAGGAAGGGTCGGCTTAGCGGCGGCTGGGGCAGGGGGCTGCAAGATCAGGAAACAGGGGGTCTTATGGCGAGGTGTGCTGGGGTTTGCCATGGGCAAAGGGGCGCAGGAGAGGGCTGGGGCGTCACAGTACACATAACGGACACCTCCCAGGCTGAGTTCAGAAGTTATGTTCGTATCCAGTCACGTAGGCTGAGCTGTTTCATATTAATAACGTAATAAAGAGGAGCGTAGTGCCCTGAATACACTCCTCTCTCTTTGAGCTTATGTTCCTAGCCAGGTTCCTAGCTAGAGATGTCTAAACTCTTCCTGAAAATTAGTTGCTGAAAGTAGGTGAACCAAACGGCTTTTTGTCCTAATATATAATTTGTCTATCAGTGTTTACTACAAAATCTTACTTATGATTTTATGTGCCTTCGTGCTGGGTCTGTGTGTGTGGCAGGTGTTTGGTAGCAGGGGAGGGGGTGCAGCAGTGGCCCCGTGAGAAGCTCCTCAGAGCTCCCCCAGCTCCGCGTCGGAGCCGCCTCTGGCCAAGGCCGGGCAGTGGGCGACGGGGCTGCCTCTGGGGTAACGGCTGCGGGAAGGGACTGGGAGGAGGAGGGGGCTGCTGGGGGGGAGGTAGGAGAAAGACCCCTCTGCCGACACCGAGGTCAGTGGGGAAGGAAAGAGGAGGAAGGGGGGAGCTGGCAGAGCAGAGCCCCCCTGTACCCCCTGGGGTCACAGAGGAGCAGGGATCTGCCTGGGGAGGGCTGTAGAGCTTTTGTTCTCTCCATGTTTGCAGAAATACAGAAAACAAAATAAGAATAATTCACAAGCCAGGGTAGTGAGAACAAATAAAGTAAGAAAAGTAGTAAGTCAAAGAAAATCCAGTTTTGATATTTTTAGAATAAAATTTATATCTTGGAACAGTATGGGCTAACAACAGATTTACTAGGAGAATAAGAGGGTGTGCAGCCCCCACAGCAAAATAGTGCAGTCAGACTGTGGACACAGCATATAATCTTCAGCTGCAAAGGGAAGAATACCACTTTCATTTTTACTAAAAATCGGATCAGAACTCTCTGCTTTCCCTTTCAAACGTGGCCAGCCCAGACCTCTTCTGACGCACACCAGCAATCAGAGCTCTTTTCCAGACAGTTTTGGTCTCAGGTTCTTAGCCTGAAGGAGCTCAAATCTGAATTTTCTGCATCATCAGCAGGATCAGAGCCAGCGAGAGCGCGCAGCAGCCCAGGTA